CAAACGGCCACGCAGAATCCTACGTCAAGTCAATGAAGCATCTCCTGCTCAAATCTGAGAGTTGGAAAACCTTCAAGGAGAGTCTTCTTGAGTGGCGAAATATACCTCGAGATAATGGACTCAGCCCAGCCCAATGGCTCTTCGGTAGACGGCTAAGGACATCCATTCCCGCAACATCATCGGCATACGAGCGAATAACGGAAAAGACCTTCAGTGAAGCTCGTTACAAAAAGGAAAAATTAAAGACTTAAGTACCCTTCATTATAACAAAAAATGTAAAAAATTACCGAGACTTAACGTGGGTGATGACGTTGTCCTCCAGGACCCAAGATCCAAGCGATGGGAGTCGAGAGGGAGGATCTCCAGTGTTCGAGGAAGCGGGAGGTCGTTCGTCATTAGAACGGATCGAGGAGACCTCGTGAGGAATCGAAGATTCATACGGAAGAATGCCGAACATTAATTTTGATGACTTTGCTCTTTCACTAGTATTAATGTTTATTTATTTCATTTGTTTATGTTTTGATTATAATTGAATAGGTATGCGCAAACGTCATGGGAGGGGAGATGTGTGGTCATGACTTATAAGATACTTCTTGAGATCTTATAAGTCAACCGGATCATCCAAATCCCCTCTCCTAAGTTCTTTGTATTTGTGTATATAAACATTAATAAAGTAGTCTTCGTCAAGACCTTACAGGGGGTCTTGTGTGATGATGGCTCGGATAATTGGATCTTTAGAGTCCCTCAGGCTAGCGATGCGTTTATTTTGGAAAAGTTTCCTGCGCACCTCTAGTTCCATGAGGGCCAGACCACCTGCCGACGTTGGGGCGTAATAGAACTCCCTGGGAGTGTCCCTGGCGAGTTTCATCCAGTCCTTGACGGCCAGCCTCACCACTTGGTCCGCTTGTCGGACCTGGGCCTGTGAGACCTTGCCGTATGTTAGGCTGTAGATGAGCCTAGGGATAAGGTGATCCCTCAAGGCTATGTATCTTTGGAAGACTGTTAGGCCAATGCCGTTCAGTCTTCCAAGTCCATCCTGGATCCCTTCCAGTAGTGGGACTGGCGCCATACCCTTGGGGGTAAACACCACTCCCAGGTATTTGTAGGCGTCGGATACGTTCATGGGGGTTAGCTTCTCCCCCATCACGGATAATTCCTCGCTGGCGTCGACGAAATGGGCTTTACCCGCTGTCCTTATTGCCGTGAACGCGCATTTTTGTGGGTTGGCACGAAGTCCCGCCTTTTCGCATTGTGCGAGGAAGGCGTTAACCAACTTCTGCAGCCCTTTTATGTCTCTGCTGACGAGCACAGCGTCGTCAGCAAAGAGTAGGGCTTCCACATGTGTTGCGCCAATACGCACTGGATTTCGGTCGCCTATCGGCGTGGTGTTGTACGTTACATCCAACACCCAGTCCAGTACGAAATTGAACAGATGGCCGGACAACGGGTCTCCCTGGAGGACCCCTGACTTGACGATCGCGTCTTGATCCCCAATCCTTGTCCTGGCGTTTTGGTATAGGTTGCGTATATAATTAATTATGAGCGGGGGTATTCCCACTCTCCTAGCTGCCAGAAGCATTGACTCGTGTGAAACCGAGTCGAAAGCTTTGGCTAGGTCGATGAATGCGAACGCTAGCGGAAAACTGCGCTGTCCGCCTATGGCTGTTCCAATAAGGTTCCTGAGAGCCAAATTGTTCTCGGAACAGCCGTTCATCTCCCTAAAGCCTTTCTGGCAGCTGCTAATCCTCGCCTTTTTAATCCTGTTAGCCAGGACTTTGTGGAGGACCCTTGTTATGTGGGGTAGAACCGTTATCGGTCTGAAGTCCCCTGCTAACTGGGGGTCCTCATTCTTGGGGATCAGTGTAGTTCTTCCTGTAGTTAGTTCCTGCGGCAGTTTACCGTCGAATAGGGCTCGATTAAAATATTGTACTAGCTCCTCCATGGGTAAATCACGAATCTCAGCCCCCCTGATTCCCATTGGGTCTCTAGAAGCGGCCATGCTAGGCATGGCCTCACTAATTTCCTCCGCTGAGATGGGGGCCTCCATGGAGTGGTCCACCTTATTGACCAGATTAGGGGTTCTGGCATCCTTCACGGATGCCGTCTCGAACTTTTGTACCCAGTCATTAATGACTTGCCGGGGTACATTCTGGTTCTTCCCCACCTGGCTGGCCTTACCGTCTAATATTAAACCTATTGTCCCCGGAAAGTCACTCCCTAGGGCTTGTTGGATGCGCTTATTTGAAGCCTTGTAGGGCTTTTTAGTCCCATTATTTCTTTCGCTATATCCAGAGACGGAGTCATCTATTATTAATTTTATTAGGTCATTAAATTCGACCTCCTCTTCATTGATTCTTTTCAGTAATCTTGCCTTGGCTGTTTCTTCTAGCTTGTAAGAATAATGCTTGTTTAAAAGCGTCCTGCTAGATTCATTTAGCTCACTAGCTGGTGGAGCGTTTTTGTTCTTTGCGAAAAGGCTGTGGTTCAGCCAGGTGTAAAACGCCCTGGCTGACATTCCTGCACCTTTCTCCTCATTCTCTAGCATGAAATTGAGGACATCTATTTTCCTTTCGCTACTAATTCTTCGATTGTCTCTGAGAAGCAATTTTTCATGTTTCAGGGAGTGACTCACCAGGGCCTTACGGTGCGCTTCTGCTGCGGCCGTTTTATGGTTGTCTTGCGTGTCTTCCCCCTCTTTATTGCTAGCCTTTTGTGTTACGATTGGGAGGTGGCTCCTAAGCCATTCGACTATCCCTTCAATTTTGGTGTTACCGGCGCACTCGGCCACTTTCCTCCTTTGCTGACAGACGTCAATTTGTGGAGGGCTTAGTTCCAGGGCCTGCGCGTAGGACCTCCGCTCGTCAGGGTTTTCCCTGGGTTGCTGAGGTCTCTGGGCTCTTAACGAGTCGATGGAGTCTTTGATTCTGTTTACCAGGGTTAAGGCCATTTCCTTAGTCCTGGCTTGGACCGTTGCTACGGCCTCTCCTCCCTTCTCTCCTTCCCGCTGCGCTAGGGCTGTTGGGTTTTTGGGGGTTTCCTCCCTTGGTGGAATATTTGATTTACTGTTCCCGCCATTCCCACGGGTCTCCCCTGGGGTCCCTATGGGTTCTCCGGGTCCCTTAGTCTTAGGAGTTTCCTTTGGGGATTCTCTTGGGATATTTGGATCCTGGTGGGAGGTGGTCTTTGGTTCCTTTGCTGTTTTGGTAGCTATCGGGTGTGTTATTGTGGGTATTACATTGGTTGGGGCCTCTGTTTGTTTGTCCAGGGTTTCCCGTGAGGATTCTCCGGGGCTCCCATGTCGTTGCTGGCGCTGGGGCTCTAGGTGCGCGGTCTCTTCTACCGCATTCACACATTCCTGTGGGGGTATTGCAGGAGTAAGTAATCTCCCTGCGTTTGGGGCTCCATCTGCTGTTCCTCCATCCTGGGTTTCACTTTGGGTCTCCCTCTCTATGAGGGGGCGCGGCGGGGTTCCGTCGCTGCTGGAGGAGTCCAGGAGCCTCCTCTTCACTGGTTTAGGCTTCGCTGCGCTGTCTGAGGAGTCGCTTTCCTCAGTGTTCGGGAAGGTATTAATTGGTCTCTCCCTCTTTTTTCGCGTCAGGATGCGTTTACCAAGGACCGCGTCTGCGGCCAATCGGTCACTTGGATTTAGAGTCACCTTGAGCTCTTTTGGGCAGGAACGGCTTGCGTGGCCCGAGATCTTCTTGGTGAGGAATTTTATTATTGTTTGGGGTTTATCGGTAGCCTTTACCGTTTGGTATGCCGGCGTCTCCTCTATCGTCGTCGTTTGAATCGTTTGATTCATCCCAGGCTCTTCGTGCAGGACCTCCAATGGGGTGTCATAGTCAAGGAGCGTTGGAGACGTTGGAGATAATCTTGGAATTTCGACTCGCTTGTTTGGGGTCGTTAGTGCCTCCTTGGCCTCTTTTAATGCCTCACTGGCAATGGAGAGTCTCCTAATGCTTGGGGCATCAGGGGACCTAGCGCCAACGGGGCTATTGAAGACAGAGGTTCGAATTAGGGATGATGCTGCGTCGATGAGAGACGCAGCGGTGCTAGCGGCCTCTGCAGCGAAGCCTCTGCTGCAACGAAGAATGTCGGAGGTCGGTCACAGCCTCGAGAGGTCGGAGGATGTGATGTGTCCAATCGCTGCAGTTTTCAACGGCAGACCGAATGACGTTCGTCTCGGGATCCTAGGACCAGCAGATCACAAGATATCGACCAAACCATTTTGCCCAAAACCAAAAACCACTTATAGGACATAACTCCTTTGGGCATGCCCTACCATAGTTTTTCTCTCTGCGGGCTTGAACCGTCCAAAGAGGGGGGGGGAGACAAGTAGTTTTGGAGTAGGAGTGTTTTGTTAAGTATTTGTCACCCCAGTGCATAGCATAAGTCCAAGCAGAGCAAAGAGAAGAGAGAGGTCCTAGAGAGGGTGTGTGATGAGGGCTTGCCCACAAGTCAGAGAAATGAAGGAGTCCTTAAATCAGTAGGTATTTGTGATTCTTTGTGGTCCGACGTTATAGCTTAAGCTCCTGATGTATTTATTCACTTAAATTGTTGGAGATTCTTGAAGCCAGATAGTCCCTGATAAGGGCTTCTCGGAAGAAGTGTTGACACAGCCGAATGCGCTCCCAACTGAGCTATCACGGCCAATGAATGTATTGGCCAATCATAGTATAACAGTTCAAATAGTGTTTATTTCATTATTCAATAAGAGAAAAACAATAAGATTTTATTGAAATATTTTAAAAACCTCAAAAATACATTTGTCAAGGAAATACTTAATTAAGAAATGAATCTATTCCTATCATTAAATAGATAACATTATTCTACTTATAACTAATACATATATTTATATATAAATATATAGACTTTTTATTAATGAAATAGATCAGAATAAAAGTATTTCATTGAAAGATCAAGATAACATTGGTTATGATCAAGGTATAAACATATTTTGAAAAAAGTTTAAGAGATTAACACAACAGAATCAAAATGCAAGATCCCACCCAGATTTGAATTCGGATTGCTGGATTCAGAGTCCAAAGTGCTAACCATTACACCATGGGGCTCCATTACTATAGCCGTAATCATTAAATAAGTTAAGAAAAAAATTGATAATATTAAAAAAAAATTAATTTAAAAACCATGGAGGCGCCGGGTATCGATCCCGGTATTTATTTCAAGTTGGTACTAATTTTAATATAAAATTGCCCTCGCCTGACTCCAGGTCTGGGCGCTCCCCGTCCAACGGGAGCAACATTTATTTAAGTGTGCAAGCATATGGCGGCAACTGACATGTCGCCATGCTCACACACTGATACATATAAAAAGAATAAGAATGATAATTTATTAAATTTTGTTGGTTGCCCACATGGCAGGCGGCCCAAACTGTCCAGTCATTTAGTAATATTAAAAGTAAATGTTATTTAGAAATATATTTTTTCGAAAGCTTTTAAAACATTAAAAGCTGATAAATGATGTTAAAATATCTGGGGCATACTTGCAAGATGTGGGCCAAGAAAAAATAGATAAAAACAATCCTTCGAGCCGGATTTGAACCAGCGACCTATGGATCACGTTATTATAACTAATTCCTCTACAGTCCACTTAAATACTCCCTAACTAGGTGATCCGCGGTTTCGATGTCCCTTGAATTTACCTTACCAAGGGAGAACTCATATATGAATCTTGGGAGGAGGAAGTCCTTGAGACACCAGTATTTGTGTAGTAGTGATACGTTGGTGGCGGAAATGTTGTCCAACCCCTTCCTAAGTGCTGCCGTTACGTTGCTCGTCCTCACCCCTTCGTCACTATGCAGGGTGTAAAAGCAAATCGTGGACAAATCTGTGCCCCTCAAACATGGTCAACTTCTGCCTGAACCTTAAGTATTGCAATATCTTACCTTTAGTAACTTTTATAGGTGTGTCCTAATTTTGTCTAAATTTCAAAGTGGCTGCCCTCTGCCTCAATCATGGCCCCCACACGGGGCCTGAAGGCAGCGCAGACCTTGACCACGTAGTCCATGGACATGTTGGTCCACTCCTCGTGAACGGCGGACTTTAGACTCACCACATTGAGATGGGGTTTGCTGCAAGCCTTCCTCTCCAGATTGCCCTAGATACCATAGTCCAGAGGTGAACAGTCTGGTGAAGAAGGCGGCCACATTCCCCATGGCCAGAAGTTGGTCAAGTTATCACTGCACCACTTCTGGGTTTTGATGGCCTTATGCCCTGGTGCACTATCTTGCTGGAAAACATAGTTGCCCTCAGGGTAGGTGGAGTCCAGCCATGGCTTGACTACAGTCTTTAGGACGTCCAGATACTCATTGGTCCCCACCTTGAGGCCAGCAGGGAACCAGATGGGGGGCACGGACTTGCCGTCGCTAGCTACCACACCTAACATCATGGCACCCTGGGGGTGCTTAGTGGCATTGATGGGAGGGACCATACTGGCACTGGTGGCTAGATAACTGTCGTTTCTGGCATTTCTGGCCATGTCCACAGTCCAGAACTTCTCATCTGAAAACACACGTACCAGTCCAGGATTCTTCCTCATCCAGTTCACCAATTTCTTCCCTTTCTTGACCTTGAGCAATTTGGTTGAGCTGGAAAGCAACTGGCGCTTCCTCCTGACATAGCAGGTCATGCCCAAGTTCCTGGTGGCAGTCAGGGCCGTCGTGTGGGACACCTCCATGACCTTGGCCAGCTTCCTCATGCTGATTGTGGGATCTTCCTCAATTTTGGCCTTGATATCTCCTAACTTTTTCTCACCCAGCATTTTGTTGTGACCACCACTTCCCTTAGCTCTTTCCAGTTCTTTGCCATCCCCCAGGAGTCCTTTAACCTTGTAAACAAGGATCCTGGAGCACTTCAGGTTACCCACAATGGTGGGGATAGACACTCAAGCCTGAAGCAGGGCTGCAATCTTTTCTGTTTAAACTTCCATAGCTTTCGCAATATTCAACTTAGAAAAAAAACTTTTTTGACAAATTTGTGTATTTTAGTTTACACTAAATTCCAGCAGAAAATTACGGAACAAATCATTTAAAATCATGAAACTTTCCTTTTTTAAGGGTTATGTATTTTTCAATAGTTTTTGGAGATTTTGTTCCTTATACAGTTGTACATGTAGGATTTCTTTAACTTTTAGAGGCAATAAGCAGGAATAGGTAGAGGCTACAATTTTCCTTTAATGACCATTTACATATTTCTAACAACATTGGGATGGCAATCAATTTAATTTTTTCTTAAACTAGAATTTATTTTCCCCTTTATCAGGTCGATTAAGCAGTACCTCAAAGATATCACTAACCAGAGTTTCATGATTTGAAAGAGAATTTTATCAGCTTTCCATCCATGTATAGATTGTTGGGGTACTCCTGATGGTTCTGGCAGAAGTTGTCCATGTTTGTGAAACATAGTGGTGTCAACGATTTGCTTTTACACACTCCCAAGTACTTCTGGGTTTCGTCTGGGGACATAAAGCGAAGGTGAGAGCCACAGAGCTCCAGAGTTCTCTTCGATGATCGGGTCCCTCTTCCCGCCGCGAAGTACCTGCATTTGGCCGGGCTCAGCCGCAACCCCACCTTCCCCGCCGCTAGGCCAAATGCATCCAGAAAGGCCTGGAGTCCCGCCTTGGATCTGGACAGCAGGACCGCATCGTCCGCATATAATAAAGCACTGGCTGGCGTTCCGTCCAGCTTAAAGAGGTCCAATAGGGAGGATAGAGGGTCACCTTGTAGGACACCAGAATTGATGCTCACTGGAGCGTTCCTCCCCAGCACTGTTGTAGCCTCGCCAAGGACTCGCATGACGTAGTCGGTTAGGGGGTCAGGGATCCCCAGTCGTCTGCAGGCCCATCGTACCGAATGATGTGAGACCGAATCGAAGGCCTTCGAAAAGTCCAAAAAGACCCCATGGACCTTATTTCCGTCCCCGCCTCTTGAGGAGGCCTTCGTTAAGACTGCCTTCAAAATGGTATTATTTTCCAGGCATCCATTCATTTTTCGAAATCCCCTCTGGGCTCCATTTATCTCGATTGCCTCCAACCTCCTGGCAAGAATCCGGTGGGAAACCCTCGTGTAGTGAGGGAGAACAGTGATGGGCCGGTAGTGAGAAAGGAGAGTCGGGAACTCCACTTTTGGGAGGAGTGAGGTCTTACATTTATAGTTCATGGGGAGGTCTTTCTCCAGCAATCATAGCGTTGTAGTACCTCGCTAAAAAGGCCGGCTGGAGTGAGGAGTGTCTTAGGTATATGCGGTGCTTTTGCGGAGGGGTTTTAGACATCCCTGTCAGGTCTGTCTCTCTCCTCTCTATATATCATGTGGGAGGCAGTCAGAACTTTTAGTTGGACGTACTTGACATATTTGGGGGTCATTCCGACGGTCCCAATTAGCGCTCTGTACGTCCTCTCCGACATTACGCCTCTCCAGTTTATTACTATGGGCACCACCTCCATCTGTTCGATTGTGTGGGTCTCCTCGCACTCGAAGTACTTTAGGAGAGCCTTCTTGAACTCCATGGTTTTGTAGGTGGCGGCTTTATTGTTCTCCGACTCTTGGAGAGAGAGAGAGTCCGATACGATTGTAGGGTCCACATCACTTATCTTCTTTACGTCGATTATCACGAGGTCTGGTTTTCTCACGGTTCCTCCCATGGGGATGATATTGTCCTTGTGATAAGTCCTCTTTTTGCTTTCAAGGATCCCTCAAGGAGGGCTTGAACCTGGTCATGGCGTTTTATCCTCGCACCTTTTACCCTTGGACACACCTGCAAGATGTGCTGCAGATTCTTGACGCGATCGGTGCACGACTCACACTTTTTCCCATTGGGTAGTTGTGTGAATCGTACCCTTTGGACCTTAGTTAAAGGTGCTCCGGCCATGATTTGCACTGCAGCACAAAATGCAGCGTCCGCTAGCTTCTGTACCCGTTCCCTCATGAACATGAAGTTCCGGTGTCCTTGGGCTGTCGACGCCAGTCCACATGTGTCGATTTTCGCCCACAACTTCTTGGCATACAAAGTCTCTGCCTTATCCGAGTCTCTGCACAGGAGACCATCTACTATTGCCTGTTGAGGTCTTACATATAGTGGATCCTGTGCAATGATGGCTCGAACAATTGGGTCTTTAGAATCCGTCAGGGCAGCGATACGTTTATTCTGGAGAAGTTTCCTGCGTACCTCTAGCTCCATGAGGGCCAGACCACCGGCTGACGTTGGGGCATAATAAAACTCCCTGGGAGTATCCCTGGCAAGTTTCATTCAGTCCTTCACAGTTAGCCTCACCACTTGATCCGCCTGTCGGATCTGGGATTGGGAGACTTTGCTGTATGTGAGACTGTAGATGATCCTAGGGATCAGGTGGTCCCTCTAGGATATGTATTTTTGGTAAACTGTTAGGCCGATGCCATTCAGTCTACCTATACCCTCCTAGATTGTTTCCAGGATTGGGGATTGGGGTTGAACACCACTCCCAGGTATTTGTAAGTATCTGACACATTCATGGGCGTTAACTTTTCCCCCATTACGGAAAGTTCTTCACTGGCGTCGATAAAGTGGGCTTTCCCCACCGTCTGGATCGCTGTGAAGGCGCATTTCTGTGGATTCGCACGGAGCCCTGCCTTCTCGCATTGCGTAAGGAAGACGTCCACTAGCTTCTGGAGCCCTTTTACAATACGGGACTCAAAAGGGGTCGAAAAGGACCGGCTTTTCACGGCTGGTCGAATGACGTAGGTTTCACTACCCTAGGTCTAGCGGTTCGGGAGTAATCAGCCAAACCATTCACCCAAAAACCACTTTTAGGACAAAGCAGTCCTGGGCAAACCCTATGCTTGTAGTCAAATGGAATTCGGGCTACTGGCCTGGAACCGTTCAAACAGGGGAGGGGGGAGACAGCTCTCCGTTGTAGAAATATTAAACGAATGTACACTCACTCTTAAGCAGGAGAGAAGGGGAGAGGCAGTGAAGAGAAGTAGAAGAGGAATGGGCAGGCTGTTAAAGCTGGCCTGCAGTCCGAAGTTATGTAGAAGCTCCTCAAAAATCAGTCTATTATTGAAGTCCAAGCACCCGTGA